CATTTTTTGCCAATAGTATTTGCGAGATAATGCTAAGTAACACTCGTTAATACCACGGTGGTTGGTTTTACCGTCGTGATAGTGACTAATAATTTCTTGCTGTCTCAAATATTCCTTAACATTCTCTAACTCGAATTTAGTTAGAACAAGGTTAAGTGAAGAGCTTTTAAATTTATCCTGTAAGATTGGTATTACTTTATATAATGCTAAAGATGGGTTTATTAAGAGAGCTGTTTTGATTTTCGGATTGACATACTCTTTTACAGCGTTTATGACGTCTTCTTCGAGACTATTTTCCGATAGTTGGATGCTAACACGTGTATGGGTATCGAAGGGTTTAGTCACGATGGTTTTCCGTTTAACGTCGCTAACGACAGTCAAGTGAATTTGTCTATTAAACTTATTGAGTGGTTCGTCAGTTATAGGAATTTCAAGTATAGGGTGTTCGTTACTGGTGTGTACGGTCTCAGTCGAAGAGTTTGCAATACCTTCGCTTGGGTTGCCTATTAACGAGTTTAGTTCGTCAATTTCGTTCATTAACATCATTACGTCTTCATTGTGAATCTCTATACGTGAGAGAGCATCGGCATTGGTGTTAGTTTTGCCTTTCTTATAAATTACTGTAAAGTCATACTCGCTAAGTCTAAGTCGCCATCTTGTGAGACGAGAATTTGGTTCTTTCAAATTCATCGTCCACTGCAATGGTTTGTGGTCTGTCAAAATTTTAAATTTACGTCCAAACAAATATGGTCTAAAGTATTTCGTAGCCCTGACTATGGCGAGAAGTTCTTTTTCGATTGTACTGTAATTAACTTCGCTTTCGTTTAACGTACGAGAAACGTAACAGACTGGTTTGTCGGATCCTATTGGACCTTGTGACAGTACGGCACCAATGGCAAAGTTAGAAGCATCTGTCGTTAGGTTAAACTCTTTAGTAAAGTCTGGATATTGCAAGATGGGATCGTTTGTCAAAAGAGACTTACATTTTTCGAAAGCGTTAACGTAATTATTGTGTATTGTTACCTTTTTGCCTTTCTTAAGACACTGAGTTAATGGTGTAGTAATACGGGCGAAATCCGGAATGAACTTTCTGTAATAACCGAGAAGGCCTAAAAATTGTTTAATTTCTTTTGGATTCTTTGGAATAGGGTATTTTTGTACAGCCGAAATTTTATCGGGGTTTGGTTTAATACCGTCCCTCGTGATAATATGACCGAGATAAGCCGTTTCATGTTTGAGAAACTCCGATTTGTCCATTTGAATTTTAAAGTTGGACTCGCGAAGTCTACTAAATACTTTGTCTAGGTTAACCATATGTTCTTGGAGCGAAGTGCTGAACACAATTATGTCATCTAGGTATACAAGGCATATATGATTTTGTAGCCCCCTTAAGACATTGTCCATAATTCTTTGGAACGTAGATGGACTGTTCTTCAGGCCCATTGGCATGCGAAGAAATTCGAAATGGCCATGCTCTACATTAAAAGCGGTTTTCGCTATGTCCTGAGGGTCCATTTCGGCCTGATAAAATCCGCTTGCTAAGTCTAAGGTGGAAAAATATTGGCACTTCCCTAATTTGTCAAGAATATTACTAATGTTCGGGATAGGGTATTTATCGTCAAGTGTCTTTTCGTTTAATTTGCGAAAGTCGACTACAAGACGCCACTTCTGTTTGCCAGAAGCATCTACTTTCTTTGGCACAACCCAGATGGGTGAGCTCCATGCAGATTCGGAAGGTCTTATAATACCCTGATCTAACATTTTGCTTATTTGGTCCTTAACTTCTTGTCTATGTATGAATGGATAACGGTAGCTTTTAGTATGTATTGGTACTTCGTCCGTGGTTCGAATCCGATGTTTTATTCTATTTGTGAAAGTGAGGCTTTCACCCTCTATGTAAAAAACGTCCGAGTAACGAGAGCAAAGTGCTACTAAATTAGCCTTTTCCTCCTCGTTTAGGTGGTCTGTACGTAATCGCGAAACTACGTCTTTTGCGCGTGCTGATAATTGTTCGGTACGCGTGTACTCAATATTAAATAATTCCGCGTGTGCTGGTCGGTCGAGTGAAAATATTATGTCGTTTGGCGTTGGGTTCTCTACCTCAATAAAACCGCGATTATTGACGACAGTGGTAACACATTCGTGAATAATACAATTACATAGAACCTGTTCCGTAATATAGGCTTCGCCATCCTTTGTATCCAACGCAACTCTAATAATTTTCGAAGAGCTGGCAGGTATTATATCTTCGTATAAATTAACATTACGCGAGTTATATAATTTTATGGGATTACATGCTGAATGCGTTATTAATTGTCCCTCCTTTAGATCTATACGGGCCTCCCATTTACTTAATAAGTCCAAACCTATAAGGCCGTCAAAATAGTCATGAAAGCGATATACAAAGAATTTCACTTTATCGGAATCATTAAATTCAGAAAAACAAGGTAACGTTATAAAATAATTATTACGACTTGTCGCGTGTATGTTTGTTACTTCGAACGGGTCAAAATTAAGTGGGAAATCGCTGAAAAATTTTCCTACTGCTTCAGGGCTAATAAAAGACTGATTCGCGCCAGTATCTATTAGAAATTTTAATGGGGGGTTTGCTATCTGTATATATGGTAATTGTCTTTGAGTCTGAAGATTTAATTCTATTTTTGTTTTTTTATAGTCGAATCGTCCTGAAAATCCTGATCGGAGTGCTTAGACTCTACTTGTGATTGATTTTGAATATAATAATTATTGTCTTGGTTTTCGTCAGTCGAGTCATAATAAGAAAAATCAGAAGCGAAATCCGGGGCATAAGCATTGTTAAAGTCGGTGTAGTATGCGTACTCGTATTCAGGGTTATACTCGTAATATGAATCGCTATACGCAGCGCATTCGTTTGTATTCATTTCGCGGGATTTAAAATAATTTGTTGGTGGCGGATTGCCAAATTTATTCCAGTCATGTCCTGTCAACATTTTTGTGTGTGGTAAAGCCTTGGGAATAAAACGCTGGACTCCACTCATGGGCTGAGGTTGTTGAGGGTTATTTTGGGGTGGTAATCGGAACACGTTACTACGCTGGTTGTAGTTGGGAGGGGGTGCACCAAACATGCGCTGGGTATTAGTTGGCATGCGCTGTTGGTGTGGTACGGGTTGAGGAAATTTGAACGGCTGAGGTGGGGGTCTGTAAGGTCTTTGCCCAACAGGAACTGGCCAATTAGGTACTGGAGTTTGGAAAGGTTGATGTTGAGGAATGGAAGGTGGTGTGGATGGTGGAATGAACTTGGGGGAATGTTGACTTTTTATGGAGTCATTGCGCTGTTGGAGATACATAATGTTTAATTCCTCCTGTACATATTCTAAAGCTCTCTCTATTGTCGATGGTCGCATGCAACGTATACGAGATCCTAAAGGTTCCTTTAAGCCGCGGACATATGCTTGCATTGCGACTTTCCTATAAAGGTCCCGTTTGGCATCGATGGTGGTCGGTATGGTCTCATGTAAAGACACGTAAGTCATTATCGTACTAAACAAAGTTTGGCAATGGTCGTAAAATTCTTGTGGAGTTCTGTTGCCTTGCGAAGCTAAGGAGAGGTCATTATATAAAGCCGTTTCGTCCCGCTGGTCGGAAAAATTATTTATTAGTGCTGTCCTAATACGAGTACCTAACCAGTTTTCAGGAATGCCATTAGAGTTTATAGTGCAGGCAGCGGTTCCTGTTATTTTGTTAAGAATACCGTTCAGAAGACATAAATTAGAAAATTCACTATCGGGCGCATTGCTTAGATACTGCGAAGCTAGTCTGTCACATATTTTTATAAATCTAGTTAAAACGTTAGGGTTCCCATCAAACTCCGGGACGAGGCGTAAAGCCTTAAAAATTGTGTCCGGGTCATGGGCCATCTCTGTTAAATAAGTATTATTTAATTCTAATTCTAAATCTAAATCGGTTTGCCTACTATTATCTAATATATGACGGCGAGCCTGTCGAGATTCAGGCTCCCGAGAACGAGCCTGTCGAGATTCAGGCTCCCGAGAACGAGTTACTCTAGGATGATAAATCTTGAAGGGAAAGATTTAAACTTAGGGATAAGGGAGAGCAACACGAGATCAATTCAAGTGTACTCACGTGGATTTCATCTGGTTTCTCTCGATGAATCGAAGGCTGGATTCTCCTCCTGGTCTGCAGCTGGTCCGTAGATCCGGATACTCTTCGAAGGGACTTGATAGCCGCCGGGGTGCTTCACGGTTATGAAAAGATATTCCCTAACTATCGCAAAACTACCCCTGAGTATCCTACCGACTGCGCCAATTACGTTAGCTGCGGCCGGAGGTTCGAAAAAAACCCAAATTTACTTATAAAATATATTTAAAATAAAAATTACAAATTATGTTACTATAGCTAATTAATCTAACAGAATGAGCCTCGTGTAACTGAGTACGTGATATTTTATACATCCGGCACGTGGCTTGAATTGCTGCGCCTGCATTCCTGTCGGTTTACATAGCAACTGTTCTAGGTGCATAGTCAGCGATCGTCATATCATAGGTGTATGTAACTAGCTACTATTTTACGCTGGTATTCTGCAAGGTCCGCAACACGCACTGGCGCAACGTGGCGGACTATTTCCTTCATGACCCTCCCAGAAACGAGGAAGCCTGTGCCTAACATTCAACAATATTCTGTTACAGCCTATTAAAGTTCACCGCTGAACATAGCCCTCCCACATAGATTGCCACGAAGTACGGTATTGAGCCACCTGCATCTAGCGACTCTGGTTGGTTCAACACTGCGCTTGCCAGCACGAGGTTGCCACTCAAGAACCTTTCTTCTCCATCGGTTGTTGGTTCTTCGAGCAATATGACATCGTTATTTTAGCATATTGAGCTGACCCAAGTCACTCTTGTTCTTCTGCTGACAGAGAATTTTCGAGCTCTTTCTATCACAGGAAGAGTACAATATCGATTATTATTTTCAGGTTCGAGAAGAAAGCTTTCAATACGCTACTGGGTTTCGAGTTTGACCATTACTACAAGGAATTCAGTGACTATGATGTTGACAACATCGACCCCAACGTGTTCGTTGTTGACCGCAGTAAGTAAAACGCACATTCACGCACGCACACATTCATTCATTTATTAATTTATTACAGCCCATAAAAAGTTCTCTGCTTAACATAGGCCTCCCCCATAAATTTTCTAATGGAATATATTTTCCAAATTTGCCACAGTTGCCGCGCTTGCCATGCGAGTTGGCGACCGTAGTTAATTATTATTTTGGGTTGTTATCAGCAAGATGCTGCTGCCCATCTCCAGTTTCAGTTTTACTCCGTCGCTTCTTACGTCGTCTATGGTATAATATGGCGTAGTCGATTTTTTTACGCTGCCAATACACTGCGACACATGTACACGCATACTTATCTCATATACACCCACAAGCACATCTTAGTCTTACGTATACGTGGTGGGTTCGAATCCACCATTCGCCTACTGTCGTGAACCACTTCTAACACAAGCATTTTAAGCTTACCAGAAGTGGTTAAAGGGAATATTAGTAATGTTTAATAGCACTAGTATTTAAAAAAAAAAGTTACAATGGGCATATAGCTCGAAGAACCGACAACCGATAAAAGGTTAAATAGGATAAAAGGTTCTCTAGTGGCAGCCTCGTACCGGCAGGTGAAGTGTAGGGCGAACCCCCATGGAGCGACGACCTGGTAAAGCATGCAAAGTCGATGGATGTAGGTGACTCAGGACCGTGCTTTGTGGCATTCCTTAGGGGAGGCCTATGTTCAGCAGTGGACTTGTGAAGGGCTGTAATGATGATGATGAATATGAAATCGCTCCGTAAAAAAAAGTCATTAAAATCTGGAACACCACAATTCAACCTAAGGCACTAAATTTTTCAAAACCCGTTCTTAGTGAATGCCTACGTAATAAAAGGAAGTTATTGTCCCAATTCCCGCTACTGTACGGGGATTTGAGCTGTACTTATTTATACTAAGCAAAATAATATATTTATATACAAAATTTTCACCATTGTTTTAAAATAATTTTATTATTATTTTAAAACATTAAATATTTTTTCCTATGTATATATTACTTGGTCTATGGTCCGACGTCGGTGTCCTTGAGGATAGTTCACGGGTTGATTGACCTAATTTTCGCAATAATAGTTGTGATAAGATGGTGTGACAGTTTGTGCGAAATTGGACTTTTTTATGTACAGTTTTGTATTTTTTTGTTTATGATAGGACAGGCTAATAATACGCTAGAATCATATTTAATAACTTAGTGAAGTGGTGTGATAGCTCGTGCGCAATTGGACGCTTTTACTTTATTTAACGTTGAACTTTTCTTAAGTTTTAAGATTCCTCGTTGAAATACATCGACATGATTTTGATTTACGGAGGATTTGACTCACGGATTTTTATACGGGCAGTCCAAAGATTACGTGACAACCAATCACTGATTCCGCTTCAGGTTGAAATTCCTCCGCAAGTAACCGTGGCTCAGAAAGAAAAAAATAATATAAATTATTTCGCACGTAATCCAACGTCAAGTCTCCGTAGAGATTGTTCACATTTTACACCACAAGACTGTTCACAAAATATAAAAAAAAATCAAACAAAGGTCGTTTCAGCCAGTCGGGAAGCCTACTGCAAATGGCCCCTGAATAAAGTAGCTGATGACGTTTTACCAAACATAATGTGGATTGACGAGAGCACACGGCCAACGGAATATGGAATCAGCAGAACTTACGGTACTGGAATTAAGATAATCCGCAACTGTGTCGAGAGACTTTGCACCAATACAAATTTTCTGTTACTCTTTGGACTGGAATACACGGAGATCAAATAATAGGTCCCGTGTTAGAAAGCAACTTTAATGGGCCTTAGTTTTTGGAACTGCTTGACAGCCCAGTGGCGGATTACGTTGATGGACTATTGTTGGGCGCTAATAGCTGGTAATGGCATCAGCTTGACGGAGGACCTGCTCATTCATTGGTGGCTGCCAGGCAGCGCCTCACTAAAATGTTCGGAGAGCAGTGGATTGTCCGACACGGACCTTCTCGGTGGCCACCACGGTCACCCGATCAAACACCGTTAGATTTTATTTTTATTTCATTTATTAATTAGATTTCATTTATTATATTTAAAAAAAAAATGAGGTGTACTCTACTGAAGTAACGACTGTCGAGGACATAAAAATAATAATTATTCGGACTTTCGACAAAATAAAAAAAATTTCCGCCAATGGTCACCTACTACGAAGACCTATTACGGGTCCGAAATAATATCATGTGACGATGTCGATTACGCATTCAAACTCGGCGGATTTTTTTAAAATTTAAAAATTTGATTTATTTTGATTAATAATTCTGACTTCACTGACAACACGCACTGGTTGTACAGTCTCTTTTTCAAGTTTTGAGGTATACCTAACGAGAAGATGTACCGTAATTTCCCGAACGCTGACCAGCCAAGTTGAATCCGTCAATTGACTTCTCGGTCGAAGTTGGACTTATCTTAGTCGGACTATTAGTCCCAGGTAAACATACTCGTCAACAACTTCGAGCTTAGTGCTCCCAACAACTACTAGCATAGTTGTGACATGGATATTAAAGATGATATTTGTTTTGTCCATGTTCATCTTAAGACCTATCCGTTGGGAAACACTATTGAGGTCATTGAGCATAGGTCTTCCAGCGATTCTGCCATAAGGACTATATCGTCGGCAAATCGAAGGTAAGTGATTTACTCGTCATTAATGGTAATACCGTATCCTTTTCAGTCCAGTAGCTTGAAAACGTCTTCCAATGCAGCGGTGAAGAGTTTCGGGAATGTAACGTCACTTTTTCTTACACCTCTCTGCAGTTGGATAAGGTTCGTACTCTGGTTCTGTACTCGGACAGCCATCGTAGCCTTACTTTACAAACCCTTAAGCACTTTGATATACCGACAGTCAACTTGGCACCGCCGAAGGGACTGCAGCACCGCCCGAATTTCGACGGAATCAAAGGCTTCCTATAGTCCACATATGCCAAACATAGTGGCAAATTGTACTTCTCAGACTTCTGTACAATTTGCCGAAGGGTATGTATGTGGTCTATGGTGCTAAAGTCTTTTCGGAAACCAATTTGTTTGGGAGGCTGGAAGTCATCGATTCTGCATGCGAGTCGATTTGTAATGACTCTCGAAAACAGCACGTAGACGCGGCTTAGAAGGGAAATCGGTCTGTAGTTCTTCAAGAGTGCGTTGTCGCTTTTCTGGAAGCACAAGACCACCGCACTTCTGCTTCATGCCTCCAGGCTAGTGCCACCATGGAGGATGGCATTAAAGCGCTTCTGAAGAACTTCAAGTACCGGTTTTCCACCTGCTTTTAGAAGCTCCGATGTAATTCCATCCTTGCCTGGGGCCTTGCCGTTTTATATATATATATATATATCACACAGCTTAGAATTCGTTCAAACAAGGCGAGCAGGTAGTAAAGTAAAATTTTCAAGAGCGACAAATGTAGTTACCTAATAAAGGCATGCAATGTTTAAAAAAAACTATCTGCCAATAATTTTGTAATTTTGTAATGAAATGCCTACTTTTACACATTAACGGCTATAGCTCAGTAAGTAATGACATTAAGTACATGGTATGCCAATGTTTTAGAAACCTTATGATATAGGCAAACTTTTTAAATGGTTGGCCATACAGATCCTACACGTATTTTTTTCACCACAGGTGCTCAAACTTAGCAGTTAAATAAAGTAAAAAAATTTAACTTATGTTTAGTGCGTCTTGAAAAGTACTACCCATACTACTATGGGTAGTACTTTACAAGACGCACTTTGAAAACTTTTAAGGGTAATTTAGAAACATCAATATTAGGGAACACATTAAAAGAAAAAAATCCGATCTAGGCATTAAACTGCGGAGGTGATGACCACGAATGTGAGCAGAAGTACGAATTTTCGGAATTTTATAAGACCAAACGGCCGAGGGTTAGGGGGAAAGAGAAAGAAAGTGACGGACGATGCGGGCGGTGTCGAGGAGCCCCGCTTTCAGCATTTGGGAACGGAGCGGTTCGTCACGGAGTCCCAGTCGCCTCAGACTACCTAATAGGCTGACCGAGAATAGCCCGTTCGTAGAAACGACCACAGGAATGATTTCGGTCGGCAGACCACCCCACATGTCGTCACCTCGTGAGCCGTCCAGATATTTTGTTCTCTTGTCTGTTTCGGCTTTCACGAGGTTTTCGTCATACGGAATGGTAATGTCGACCAAAAATATCCTTAATTTTGCCCTGTCCATCAGCACAATATCAGGCTTATTCGCAAGAATAATCCTGTTTGTGATGATGGCCCGGTCCCAGTAAAGCCTGGCGCGGCCATTTTCGAGCACGGTTTCCGACATGTATTTATAATAAGGCAGTTTCCGATACGTATGAAGTACGATACCGTTTTTCAGAGCGAGCTCCTGGTGTAGAATCCTCTAGATTGTATCTGTGCAAGTACTCAGAGTTAGAAAGAGCCGAACACCCGGAGATGACATGCTTAATTGACTCATCAGGATGGCACCAAGAATCTCGACAAATGTCGACGGCACCATCCTTTAGAATGTATCTCCGATAGTTGTTGGTCTTATTAACCTGATTCTGTATCGCACAGACAAAACCCTCGGTTTCCCCAAAGAGGTTACCGAAGCGTAGCCAGTGAAGGCTGGCGGCCGTATCTACGAAAGGATCATGTAGGGCTCTACTTGTAGAACCTTCCATGGAGCTTCTTCTCCTTCCATACGGTTTCACGGTTGGAAATGCTCTGTACTGCCGGGTCTTGCCATTGCTCGTTGGCTAAGGATAGAGGGGTAAGTCCTTTATCACAAGAAATGACGTCCTTATGGAATGGATCATCCGATCTCGTCAGGAAGTAATTACGGAGGCTGCACACATCGCGATTATGCATGGTGATCGCGCTTAAAAGCCACGCCCACTATGCTTCCGCGGCAAGTACAACCTCATTACTGACGATCTCGGATGATGCATCCTATGGGACGTCGTAACAATGCGGACTTTTCTATCCAGAGCGTTCAGTTCGGTCTGAGTCCACCTAAGTATGCCAAAGATATACATGAGGACAGGTATGACCCAACCGTTATATAACCAATATCTTAAAAATTCAGAATAAATCAGTAGTCTCGTGTTTCTCGGCTCAGGCACACGTCTCGAATATGGAAGAGGAATACTTATCGCACTACGGTACGGTACGGTAGTTTTAAATAATAATAAGAAGAGACGCAAACGAATACACTGAATTAATCCTGTTAACGAGAACTGAGTAAGGGAAAGTCATTTCTAAATTACAATTTCACAAGTCGCAACACGTCTAGCCGTTACCGCTCGCAGTGTCAACAGAAATAATTCATAATCTGATTCCAGTGTGCGTGTGATTGCGTATTCAAATGTATAGAAAAACGCGCGTTATGGAATCGTAATCTTAATTTCCATCCGGAATTCAGAGCGCTCGTCAGTGTCATTTTCACAGATCGATCTGAGAAAATCCTAAACTGAAAAAATCAGATGTGGGTGGAGCATAGTTAAATTATATGCAATTCTGGGCTTTCTTAACTAATAATATGAATTTAGATTATGAATTCAGAGAAGCATTCCGGATGTGTGAGTCCAACCATAGACTATTATGAATCAGACGAATAATTTTTACTACTTTCTCACAATTCACACCGCTTTTATTATTTACAATAGTATTATTTATTATTATGTATTGAATTGAACAGGATCACAATAGATCGTGGAATGTGGTCTACCGGGGAAACAACGTTAAAAAAAACGCGCCTAGTACAACTTCCTCACAGGTAGCCTGAAAACGTGTGCATATTATAAAGTACACAACTTTGTCAACTTTGAATCATTATATCTCAGAAACGGTGACTTTTAGGAGAAAATGTGTTGAGACAATTTTTCTGCCGACTTGCAAAAAGGAGACGGTACTCAATTCGACCTTTTACTACTGTTACCTCATAACTTTGTACTGGGTGAATTATATGAAAGCTGATAGTTCTCGTGTAGTCTCATATGAATTTGATCAAGGTCAGACCAATAGTTTTTGAGTTATTCTTAAATAACATATATTGAAGTCAGCTGTACAAATTTTTTAATTTTAAATTATATACATTACAATTGCATTATCTACAATTTTCGTCTGCCCTGATTTTATGGTAAAACGTACCGTTTGACTGAAAAACGCTAAAGTTTTTTGGAAGGGTTGGATCGATTTATATTTTCTACCGACTTCAAAAAGGAGGAGGTGTTCAATTCGACTGTGTTCTTTCTTTTTTATGTGTGTTACCTTATAACTTTTTTTCTGGGTGAACCGATTTCGATGATCTTTTTATTTGAAAGCTGGTGTTTCTCATGTGGTAACTTATAAATTTTATCAAGGTCCGACCAATAGTTTTTGAGTTATCCTTAATAATTAATAATATTGAAGTCGCTTATACAAAATATTTAATATTATTTTATATTCGTACAAATTTTCAGCTGTATGCGAGATTTTGTAAACTTGAATGTCTAATTTGACTGGAATACAACCATTTACTGATGTGTTGCATATGTCATAAATCATAACTCGTGTGTAATAAAAACGTACCGTGCTCTACAATACCTATAGCGCCATCTACTGCCCAGCAGTAGTAGTAAAGTCATTAGTTGATGATAAAAATATAAACTGTGATATAAAGAAAATAACTCACAGAATACCAGCGTCAAATAGCGGCTTCATGCTGCTGTGTTTCGTATGGTAGAGAACCGGAGACCCTTTTTACTGGAAAAGAGGCATTCTGTCTTAGTCCTCACGGGTGACATCGCATCTGTATTTTGATTCGCAAACGAGGATAAATGTAGATGTCTATGGGCCACAGCAACCACTTACCATCAGGTGGACTATGTGCTCATTTGTCACCCTATCCTATAAAAAAAACGGGTTGGAGTAATTAAAGATCAACTCAAAATCGAATAATGTAATTTTTAAATCCCACGACAATGTAAGTTTTAAAAGTTTTTGTATCTGCAAAAGGGATCGTTATGCCTACTTCGCAGCTCCTACGATAGACAGCGTGATGTATTTATTCTAACGATTCAACCCTTACGTAACACTGCACTGTAGTGAAAATTATATCCAAATCCGTTCACAGATTTTTGCTTGTGCAGACAGAAAGACAAAATTAGTTTTGTCATCTATATCGATAACACAGTATACCCCAATGTACAGAAATCGTCGTGTTAGTATAATAGCGAGCCTGTCTATTTGTTCTTTCGTTAGTTTTAGACGCGTAACTACTAAAACTTTCAAATGTGTGACATCAAATAGTTAATAAAAATATGACTAAATTAATGACATTTCCATGAATCTTAATTTTAATCTTATTATTTCATTTAATTATATTATGGACTACGTTATTGCGGCGTAGTAGTAATTTAAAGGTTTTTTCCGAACCAGTTATAAAAGTAAAAAATAAATTTTCAGTAAGAAATATATTGAAAAAAAAAATTCTATTCTATTCTGAAGGAAAACTATACCTACCTTTAATACTTTATATAATTTTTTTTGTATTTTTATTTATTTTAAATTATAGGTATGCAGTGCATTCCGCTCAGGGGTCCTGGGTGGCGTAACTTCGCCACATTGAACCCCATGAAAGAGTTCGTATATCCCGAAGACGACGCACACGTTGACACCGAGTTTGACAGGTGACATTTGTCTTATTTGACAGTCTTTCGCCTAGATAGTTAGGCTTTCAGACGGGGACACGGCAGTTCAAGGCCTGCTATTTGGCAATACGAGTAGGAACAGTAAGAATATTGGGTACCACATTCTTAGCAACTCCCACCTAAATTTGTCTAGGCAAAAAAAGAACTGAAAGTATTAAGTAGTTTTAAAATTAATTATGGATCTGAGACGTAGTCCTTCACTGCTGGCCGTATGAGGAAGCTCAAGATCGGCATATTAGTAGTTATGTCATAGCCGAATAAACCTAGCAAGCTAACAGCATAGCAAAGTGGCGAAGCAATCAGCTTTGTAGCGGTTTCTAACGGTTGCCGTTGAGCAATCAGTTTCAAAATAGGAGGTTCAGATGCCTGGGTGATCAGTAATCGATTGCTGAAAACAGAATTTGAAAATTCAAAACCGTTCTCGAGATAATCTTGGGACAGACGGATAGACGGACAGACGGACAGACGGACAGACATCGTGAAATCAATAAGTGACTTCGCAAGCTTCGCCACTTAATAATTGAGGACTGACCACAAAACAGTTTTGACCAACTTAAAAAAGTCTGGCTATAGAAATAAGCTCTATATTTGGGTACCACTCGAGCTCACTGAAAGAAACCTAATAAATCGTGTACTCATTTGCGATTATCTATTGAAACGTAATAAAACCGAACCATTTTTGAAAAGATTGAACACTAGTGACGAAAATTGGATCACTTACAACAAGAACTTGCTAAAAAGATCATGGTCAAAGTGTAGTCAAGCTCCACAGACTGTAGCGAAACCCGGATTAATACGCAACAAGGTGATGCTGTGTATATGGTGGGATTGGAAGGGCATCGTTTATTATGAGCTGTTACCGCCGGACAAAACCATCGATTTGAATCTCTAGTACCAACAACTAATGAAACTCAAGGAAGAAATTGAACAAAAACAGATCATTTAAAATTAAAAATTTTGTACAATCGACTTCAATATAAGTTATTAAAGATAACTCAAAAGCTATTGGTCTGACCTTGATTAAATTTATATGGAAACACACGAGAAGTACCAGCTTTTAAATAAAAATAAAAAAAGATTCCTCGGTTCACCTCGTAAAAAGTTATGAGGTAACACATATGAAAAAACAAGAACATACAGACGAACTGAGTACCTCCTCCTTTTTGGAGTCGGTAGAAAAGGAGTGGTCTTTCATCATAATAACGTCAGACCACACACATGTTTGGCCACTCAGCAAAAATTGGGAGAGCTTGGTTGGGAAGTGTAAATGCATACACCATATAGTCTTGACCTTGCACACTCAGATCGTCACCTGTTTCGGTCTCTTCAGAATTCTTTGGATAGTGTTTGGTAAACATCGAAGGAGGACTTTTAAAACTACTTGTCGCATTTTTTAATCAAAAATCTCAAGATTTCTACAGCAACGAAATTATGTAACCTACAAGGTGGTAACAAGTTATCGACAAAAAGGGCACATTATTATAACTCACTACTATACACTATATTATTTATTAAGTGGCGAAGCTTGCGAAGTCACTTATTGATTTCACGATGTCTGTCCGTCTGTCCGTCTGTACCACGATTATCTCGAGAACGGTTTTGAATTTTCAAATTCTGTTTTCAGCAATCGATTACTGATCACCCAGGCATCTGAACCTCCTATTTTGAAACTGATTGCTCAACGGCAACCGTTAGAAACCGCTACAAAGCTGATTGCTTCGCCACTTTGCAAAGCTGTTAGCTTGCTGGGTTTATTATAACTAGCGATCCGCCCCGGCTTCGCGCGGGTGATTTCTGGATATCGACAACTGCGCCACCTACCGGGTCCAATTGTGAATCGTTAAGATCATCCATCTCAAACACACACAAACATTGTCATCAAAATCGATCCAGCCATTTCAAGTTTTATCGAGACTAAAGGAGCTATAGATTAAATAATATATTTTTAATTTTTAACGCCCCAGCACTGCCCTTTGTGGGTGGAATTTCATAAAATCTGTTCTTGATAATTTTAACATGTCAAAAAAAAACGTGGTAGAGCCATATTGCAGCTATATTAGTAGTATAGTTGTAGCACGAATGGGTCGGCTCGACCGGTGAAGGACCACGCTCTCACAGAAAACCAGCGTAAAATAGCAGCTTAACACTGCTGTGTTTCGTATGGTTAGTGTAGAGAACCGGAGACCCTTTTTACTGGAAAAGAGGCATTCCATCTTAGTCCTCACGGGTGACAATGCATCTGCATTTTGATTCGTATTTGAAGATAGATGTAGATGTCTATGGGCCACAGCAACCACTTACCCTTACACTTAGGTTGACTGTGTGCTCGTTTGTCACCATATCCTATAAAAAAAATATTCTGGCCAAGTTTTTTTTTAAATTTATACCTATAAAAGCTATAGTTAGAAAATGTATTTTTTTTTAATTAACGCCCTCCGCAACTTCCCTTGCGGGTGGAATTTCGTAAAATACGTTCTTAGCTGACCTCTACTCGGCGAAAGGAATATTTCTACCAGTCATAGGCCTTATGATATATCCAGAGATATCGTGATGAGTCAGTAGATAGGTGAAAATCTCTCAGGAAATAAAGTAAAGTAAAGCAAAGTTGCCGCCTATTTACGTCCCACTGCTGGGCACAGGCCTCCTCTCATTTCTGAGAGGGTTTTAGGGCAAGGAAATGTCCGCCGCGCTGCCCCAATGCGTGTTGGCGAACTTCACATGTCTTCGAAATATTTTTTTTTCTTATTTCTAAGACATGCAGGTTTCCTCACGATGTTTTCCTTCACCGCCGAGCACGTGATAAATCAGCACTTCAAATTGCAATTAAAAATTTCATTAGTGCCGGCGGGGATCGAACACGGGTTGCTCGAGTACTGTGAGAAGCCTACAGCGAGCGCTAACCATCTGAGCTACCACGGCTCTTAAACTCTTAGCTCTTTCAAAAGAAAAGGAATTACGAACAAATGAAGGTAGAACTAGTAATCTCGCATCCGTTCTAGCAGTATAAAGCATCGCGCAGACGACTCAGAGGCATCAGTCAGTAATTCTACGTCTCATAATAATTTCTAACATGGAAAGTGAAATAGGTAATTTCTTACAATATATTAAAATTGGAAAAAATTTTACTTTGCCTTTATCCGCCCAATAAAATAAAATGATGTGTCTTACCTAGTTTGAAGAGCACCTCCCGCCCTCCCTCAATTTCGTCTACCACTACTCCTGCCACCACTACACTAGGAAAGACATACCACCGACGATATTACGACATGTGTTTCGCCTCTACACGAGGCATCCTCGGGTTTAGTAGGCTCTGCGGTGGCTGACCGCTAAGTGAGCGGAGAGCCAAAACCAGCTGTTATTTATACTATTACTATATAATATTTATATTATGTATACTTACTATTTTTTTTGAGCGGATAATAGATTTCCGCAAAGTAACGCTTGATTCTATTAATTATATATATATATATACTCGACCATATGTTTTTTTTTTAATTTTGTGGTTTTATTACCTCTTACTGACACTAGCCGATGCTAAAGCTAAGTGAAGCGGGGTCTTTGACAATCCTCTTACTCCCCAGACAATGCAGAGGTAATAAAACCACATACAATTTGCATACAATTATTCTTTTAAATAAAATAAAAAAAAAAATTGTTCGAGTTTTTAAAAAAAAGTTATTTCTATACGTTTGAATAATGATCCTGACAACGTACTTAACGGGAACCACAGGGTTTTTGTTACATATTGTATATATATATATGTATATATATATATATATACATATATATATATATATATATATATATATGTATATATATATATATATTTATATACTAGCTGACCAGGCAGACGTTGTTCTGCCTTTTTCGACGACCCTTCATATAAAAAATCCTTAAATTCGTAATAAAAAATATTGAGTATCACTTATCAGAATAAAAACTATCCTATCTCTCAAGTTGGATCAAACTGAGCACAGAGTGTGCAAAATTTCATTGAAATCAGTTCAGAAGTTCATCGCGGACAAACAACGTGACACGTAATTTTTATATATAAAGATATATATATATATATATATATATATATATATATATATAAATATATATATATATATATATATATATATATATATATATATATATATGTATATATATATATATATAATTTTGTGCAATAGGTCTTGTATTTGTATATAAAATACGACGACACCTCTTTTCCAACTTTATATAAAATAAAAGAAAAACATGCAAACAGTCCTTCTCATAAGGGTCTCTAAAAAAAAAAATCGGTCCAGTTCTACATGAGCAATCAATGAGGGTCATGTGATTACTTTATTTTGTCAAAGGTGTCAGTTTGGGACTGGGTACAGCGCGACAGCAATAGATCGTTAAAAACCTATTCTAAAAATTTATTCCATAACGGGTAACCTCTTAAAACAAATCCAACAGCATTACTAGTTACATATGCTGTAGTAATTTTATTTGTTGCTTAATCTTTTAAAAAGGAAGAACTTATAACGACTCATTGCAAATTCTGTACTAATATATTGTTCCCTTTTCAGATTCAAGGCTGAACACGACAAACAATACGCCAGTGAAGTGGAGCACGCTAAACGCTTGAACATCTTCAGACAGAATCTACGGTAAGGTCAACATCATTCTTTCAGTTATAAATATGGAATATTTGGAATATTTATCAAATAAATCAACTACAGTAACATGGTGCTCATAAGCCTTATTTTATTGTATTATGATAAACGTGTGCTAATAGTGTTTTGATGAATAGAATAGAATAGAATGATTTTATTCAATATGGATTATTACATAATACTTATTGAAAGTCATTATTTTATTTACCACTGGTTCGGAAAATACCTCTGTCCTGGGAAGAACCAGCAAGAAACCCAGCGGGACTTTTTTTTAAACATAATTTCACTTAACAATAATTTTGTTTATACAATTTTTAATGAATTTTCATAGAACCAGCATGGTGGCGATCACCTTATTCCCAGGGGTTATTTTCATTCATGTATTCCTTGATATTATAATAACCCTTTTTGTACAGTTTTTCTTTAATAAAACTTTTAAACTTGTTTATTGACAAACTTTGAACATGTTCTGGGATTTTGTTGTAAAAGCGTATACATTGCCCCATAAATGAATTACAAATTCTGTGGAGTCTAGTAAGTGGCATACAAGCTTATGTTTGTTCCTAGTCTTTAAGGTATGAACATCCTTATTCTTATTAAAGCTATTTATGTTTTTATATACATACATTACATTTTCATAAATATATTGCGATGCCAAAGTTAATATGTTTATTTCTTTAAATTTTTCTCTGAGGGACTCTTTACAATTTAGATGTATTTCCACACACGCGTTATAATGACGTCATTCAAATTGAGAGGACTCCGTGGCGTAGTGGCTTAGCAATGAGTTGCAGCGCTAAGAGCTGCGGGTTCGAATCCCGCATGGAACAAGTAGCTGTATGGCCTACAAATGGTTGTTCTAGGTCTAGATGTTTGTCCTTGAGAAATTTCTCACGATACAGGAGAAAATCCTAGTGTGGTGGTAACTTCGAAAATAAATCGCTAATAGTCATTACAGAAGTCTTTAGTGCAGGTTTCTTATTTAGTTTACTTGGAGTTATTTTCTGAAGTTGGGTTCAGTATCACGTATCCGAATAAATGGTTTTGTGGTCGTCTGTGCACGCTTTATTAGAGAAAGATAGAACAATCTTTTCTTTTAATAAAAAAACTTCGGAAATGATCACTATCGGATATAGTTCAAAGGAAAAAGGACTATATGTTTACATGAATAAGATCTAACAACCACACAATCACCATATAATCACCATCAAACATTTAGTTTGACGGTGATTAAGTACCGAACTAATACACGCATTTTGAAGTTATAATAGATAAAAAGGACAGAATGTTTGAGATTTTTTTTTAAATAAATTTTTCTTCGCCATTTGCCTATAGTGCTTATTCTGAACCTTCTCTGCAAATTTGGCCAGTTATTGCAAAATAACCTTGTATTTATAGGCAATGAAATATCCGCCTAGCATCCCAAATTTGTTGACGCACTTCACGTGTTTTCAATTTTTTTTATTCCACAGCCGTATAGGTTTCCTCCTTATGTTTTACTTCACCGCCGAGTACATGGTTTAAATTATTATAAATACATGATTGTCCACATATTATAATTCAGTTATTTATTGTTATTAAAATACCAGATTCATTAACTCTAACAATCGCGCGCGGCGTGGCTTTACTTTGTCTGTGAACCACCTGGCTGATCGCACTGACGACGAGCTGGCGGCTTTACGGGGACTAAGATACAATGGATCCGAACCTACGGGTGAGTAGAAAAGTCAGGGGGTGTTTTAATATCCCAGCGTTTCTCGTCTATTAGCTATCCAAGTTGATCACAAGGTTCCTAAATCAATAAAAAATATCACTATCACTATAACTACAGCTCCACTGCTGAACATAGGCTGTGGCGGCGCTGTCGACGCGCCACAAGAAAGAAAAACATCAAAGCCTAAATCACGCTAACAAAGTTCCGAAGTTAAAGCAGTATATATAGAATAGCTCCGAACTACGAGTACCAATCGGAGCGTTGGCCGCTCCCCGGGCAGAACGCCTTGCCCTGCGGGAGATCTCCCCTTTTACTTCCACCTGCCACATAGGCCTCTCCTATAAATTGTCACCAAATACGGCTCTGATCCAGGTGCATTCATTCATTGGTTACTATTAGTACCTAAGAGTAGAGGCTAATTACTGCAGCGTAACATGTTGCTTGTTGGTCGCCCAGAGTCACTAGAGTCAAAACTGACGTTACCCAACATTTTCATAAACACATTAAGTTAACTACTCGATTGCCAATTAGTGTTGAAAAGATTTAGAGATCTAATGAAGAGTAATATCACTGTCACAAAGTACGATCCTGATCCATCAGCATCCATCGGCTACTTGCGTGTTTTATCAGGTACTAGGCTGCCACGTAAGAACCTTTGCTTCCAAGAAAAACTGCGGCTGTGAACCCGCTTGCCAAGCGTGGCAACTATGATATACCCTTCTACGCAAAAAAAGTACTTAAGTAATCCTTTTGGTGTTCATCAGTCAGTAAAGGTCCTATGCTGGACATGGGTCTCTCTCGTAGTGATGATTTTTGAAAGTGGACAAATGAGTTCTTCCCCGCTCTTTAAAGCACACCAAGCATTAAAGGCCAATTTGGCCTTCCCTTCCAAATGACCACGGAACTGAACGTCAATCGATATGTCGACGCCAAGGGTTGCTATGCTGGCTGAGACAACGAATGGTGCCCTGAAATTGGGGAGAATGCCCCCAATCCGAGACTTTGTTTAATAAAAACTTGACTTCAGACACGCTAGGTTTGAACACGTAAGTTAGGATTTGCCTTAACCGTTACGTTGTGCAGGGGGATCGATGATCGCAGTTCCAGCCGTAAGCGCCTATGACGCTGTGAACCGTCGCCGGTTTTTTTAAGTCTGTCGTAAACGAGATAGTTACACCGCGATCTATCGCAAGCCATAAGACCTTTTTACGGAGTAACGGTGACAAACGTGCACACGATCCACCTGATGGTAGTGGATGCTGTGCCCCAAAGACATTCCACATCTATCCTCGATTAAGAATCAAAATGCCGCTGTGTTGCCACCCCTGAGTATTAAGATGGAATACCTCGTTTCCCGTAAAAAGCACCATACGAAACACAGCAACATTAAGCGTGTGGTCCCACCCCGGTCGAGCCGACCCATTCATGCTTCAACCATTATATAGCTGCAGCGTGACCCTACCACGTTGAGAATCAATCAATCATACATATATATAGAATCAATTATTTATCCTTTATTTTTATAGCTTTAACTAGAGGTAACAAAAGGCTATCTTAATGTCTTATGGCATTCTCTACCTTGGAGATTTACCTTAACCACAAAAACTTATGAATTGAAAAACATGTGCAAAAGTTTGTAAAATTTCTTTCAGGTCTACCCTTCCCATACGGAGAATCCGAGTTGAAAGAGATGCAAATGATACTGCCTCCCGAAATTGACTGGAGGCTGTTCGGTGCTGTCTCACCAGTGAAAGGTAAAACAATAGGAAATCTTGTTACTAACCGCACATTTTGAAGAATATGTTTTTTTTCTGCAGTCTGGTCTGATTATAGAAAGAAAGAAAGAAAGAAACAGATTTTATTTGGCACATGCAGCACACTCAAGCGGATTACATAAAACACATAACATTTAAGTAATCATAGAAACAAACAAAAAAAAAACACAAAAAACATTATACATAGAAATCATGAAACAAGACATTAACTCCTTATTTAAAGATATCGTAAAATTAAACAAAAAAAAAGCAAAAAAGCAAACAATAATATTGAAAAAAATAATAATAACAAAGAACTAGAGAATTAGGAGTAATGCATAAGGTGTATTATAAAGATAATCCACCCGTTAATGCTGCTCTGCTCCAAAAAGGAAAGCCACTCAGGATATGTTGGAATGTATCAGAAGCACCCCAACCCTGATTTTCAGTGGCACCCTTATGTATTTAAAATACAAATACACAAATAAGTATAAAATATATATATATATATACATATATTATATATTCTTTATGTGCAGAGGGCAGTTCTGTTGTGTTAAACCAAATATAATAACAAAAATTTATTTGTTGTAATATTGTCATAATTCTTATAAAATATTCTTAGTAGTGTAGGAACGTAATTAAGTTTAAGTTACAAGCAAATACACAAACCAGCTGCAGTACACCGCTTCAATATATAATTTCAATAAATAATATTTACATACTCAAACATACATATACATACATATACACATACACACACATACACACACGTATGTACATATATGTACATAAACATAAACAAGCACACATAGATACACATATATACGCTTATACATTCTTTATAAAATTACATACTATCAAAATATCTGCACTATTTAACTTTGAGATTGCTGATCTAAGAGGAGCAATTTATATTTTTGACGGAAGCTATGTATCGATTGCGTATTACGGAACGGCGGCGGCAAGTTGTTCCAACACTTGGTTGCTGCATATCGAAAACTGCCTCGAAACGCAGCGGAGCGGTGTTGGGGCAGAAGCAACCCGTACGCTGAAGCTCTTGTCACTACATTTGTTAAGACGTTGTCTCGAGCCCACCGCAATTTTTCATAGAGATAAGACGGTGCCCTGTATTTGATACAACCAAACAACAACGTAGCAAAATGCAACTGCCAACGGTAATCCATTTTAAGCATTTTCGCATTATTAATGTAAGGTGTAACATGTGCACGGGGAGGTATTTTAAAACAGAAACGGGCACAGGCATTTTGTACGCGCTGTATAAGTTTCTTTGAACGGTTGAGAAGTCTTGGACCTATTACTGCATCTGCGTAATTGAATTTGGACAGTATCAAGGACTCACATAATCTGATACGGACTTCCGTCTTTAATACATCCCTTATCTGGTATAGCACTTTTAATCTGTAAAAGCAATTTTTAACGTTATTTATTATATGTTTTTCGAAGTGTAATGCTTCATCCATCAATATTCCTAAGTTTCTAATCTCAGTAACTCGATCAATATTTACATTTTTAATTGAAATTAAAGGACGATACTGTTGCGCGCCACTATTAATGTCTTGTACATGGTAATACTAGTTACACCAGCGCCCTCTAGTGTCGAGTAGCAGAACTAGGAGAGTCAAGATCCTTCCAGAAATTTCGGGACCGATGTGTACTCGAACATTCTAGATGTCGCTACAGTAGAAGGTTCCGGAAACTATCTGAGACCCTATATAAGGCCGGTATAGACTACGACCAAGTCAGTATTGAATTGGCGATACAAGAGAATACTTCGAAGCGAATTTGAGTGATCAGTAGTGCAATTGTGTTTTATTATTAGTGTGGTTTTAGATTGTAATTAGTGTTGTGTAATTAAAGTATCAATTTTGGTAATTCAATCGGCAGTTTTAATTGTCTGGAACTCCAAGCTCGTAACAATTGGTGTCAGAAGTGAGATCAAATATGCCGATTTTACCTAAAGACGACACGGAGGGTATCCGTACCCGAAGTCAACGCCAACAGGAGACGGACTAGAGACGATTTGGTGGTGCAACGTCACAGACGTGGGTGGGCCAGTTGCCGACCACGGATGCCGGCCCGTCAGCAGCTCCTGCATCTGCAGCACCTGACTTAAGTGCTCTGATGATGATGCTGCAGGAACAGGCCCACCAACAGGAGGAACAGGCCCGCCAACAGGAGGAACAGGGCCGTCGATTGGAAGAGCAGCTCAAACGCGATAAGGAAGAGCAGATACTTCTCATGAAGGACCTTCACGCTAACTTCGGGAAAGAGATAAGGGAGGTGAAGGATAAGGTTGCTCAATATGACAACCGCCTGTCGGAAGCTGAAACCCGAATCGACCAAGTGTACAATCGGGTTGACAACGTGAAGAAAACGCTGGACGACCTCAAACTTGGGGATGGAGTTACAGCTCCCGTGGTTGCTACAACACCTTCGCTACGTGGATTCAACGTTCCGCCGTTCGACGGGACTTCTTCCTGGTCGGCCTACAAAATTCAATTCGAGGCTGTCATTAAGGCGAACGGCTGGAATAAAAGTCAGGCCATGACTGCTCTCACCCTAGGCCTGCGCGACCAGGACTTAACTGTTCTGGAAGCTCTCGGTAAGGAAGTGACTTACGAGCAGCTCCTTGAGGCATTGGAGGCGAGATATGGCGACGCTCACCTGGAACACGTCTTTCGTGCGCAGCTCAAAGATCGCGTGCAACGCAGTAACGAAAATCTTCAGCAGTGGGCCCTTGAGGTGGAGAAGCTGGTTCAAAAAGCATACATTCATCGACGGCATCCGCGACCTTGAAGTCAGAGCTGCTGTAAGGCTCGGGCACCACGAAACGCTTAAGGACGCCTTGACCCATGCACTGGAGGTGGAAGCCGTGCGGCAGGATCATCGTTCCCATCGCGTCAGAGAGGTTGCAGCAGCTACAGTTTGGGACCGCAATAACGGCTACAGCCCTAGGTGCTACGGCTGTGGGGAAAGGAGCCATCTTCGATCCAGCTGCCCTAAGCGAACTGTAGAAAGGGAAGGTAATCGATCTCGAGAGGGTAGTGCGGCTAACAGAACCGCCCAGCTGCAGCAGGGAAACGAGTAAAAGCCAGGACTGCGGGGCGGGTGCTGGCTGATGTTAAAAGAACCCCAAGGATTTCGATCTCACAAACCCATGATGGGAACAGCCTAATCATCAAGGGCGAGGTCAACGGAACGCCGTGTAAACTGACCATAGACACTGGAGCCTCTCGCACGGTTGTCAGTTCCCAACTTATAAGTCGGTTCCTTGGGGACTCCGCATACAACCGAGAACGCATTAATTTGGTGACAGCCACCGGTCAGCGCATACCCGTCCGTGGAGAGAAGGAGATGGAGTTGAAGCTACGCAACATGATCTACCTGCATAATGTCATCGTGACTGCATCCTGGGCCTAGACTTTATGAGAAAGAATTGTAGTGAAATCGACGTTAAGCAAGGTGTTTTGAAATGTGGACAAGAGGAACTTTTCGTGGAAGGGGCGTTACCAAGGAATGTGAACAGCCTTAAGAAGATTGTTCTTCCGCCGAGATCGGAAACGATTGTGCCAGTTAGACTTCCTCGGAATCCAGCTCAAACTCTTCGTTGTGTACTCGTGGAAAGGGTAGACAATGATCTTCCATGAAAAGTGGCTCGAACCTTGATCAGAACCACCGACATTTCAGGAGTACGTGTGCTGAACCTTTGTGATCAGGAACAGATTATAGAAAAAGGCACATTGGTTGGTACTAGTGAGGAAGTGGATTGGTTGCGTCGGTGCCAATATCTATCGACTGGGACCCCTAGCAAGGATTGACAAACAAGAGTGACCACACTTTTAGAAGACTGTCGCAGCGTTATCTCCTCGAATGAAACGGTCAAGGCGAAGAAGTTATTACTCAAGTACGCCAATGTTTTCTCGTCAAACGAAGCTGACATAGGAAAAACTGGCTTAGTTCAACACAACATAAACACAGGAGAAGAATTGCCTATTCGTCAGCGGCCAAGAAGATGGCCTATAGCACGTGAAAAGGAAGTGGAAACCATGATTGAGGGAATGGTGAAGGATGGTGTTATTGAACCTTCATCTAGTCCATGGTGTTCACCTGTGTTGCTGGTAAAGAAGAAGGACGGCAGCATGCGGTTTTGTGTTGACTACCGCCGCCTGAACGACGTTACGAAGAAGGACAGCTATCCCTTGCCAAGAAATGATGACACGCTGGACATGCTTACAGGCGTATAGTGGTTTAGTACGCTGGACCTGAAAAGTGGCTACTGGCAGGTTGAATTTGACCCTAAGGACAAGGAGAAAACTGCATTTTCCACAGGAAAGGGTCTGTGGCAATTTAAAGTCATGCCGTTTGGATTGTGCAATGCTCCAGCAACGTTTGTAAGGTTGATGGAACTTGTACTTACCGGGCTAATTGGCGATGCCTGTCTGGTCTACTTGGATGACAACATCATCGTAGGCCGTACGTTTGAGGAACACCTTCAAAACCTGGAACGCGTGCTCATGAAGATCCAGAGTGCCAACTTCAAGTTGAGTCCGAAGAAGTGCTCACTATTCAAACGGCAAGTTAGCTTTTTGGGGTATGTAGTGTCGGAAGAAGGTATCCGCACGGATCAAGAGAAAATTGCTGCTGTCCGGCCGGTTCCTAAAGACAAGACACAGGTTAGAGCATTTTTGGGTTTGTGCTCTTACTATCGGCGATTTGTGAAGAACTTTGCAGATATAGCCAAACCTCTGCACAAGCTAACCGAGGAGAAGCGACATTTCAGCTGGGATGAAAGTTGCGATATTGCATTCCAGGAGCTCAAGAACCGTCTGTGCAAAACACCTATATGGGAGTACCCTGATGCGGGCAAGGAATTTATAGTTGACACAGACGCAAGTGTTATAGTACTTGGCGGTGTGTTGTCTCAACGGAATGGTGATCAAGAGATTGTGATAGCGTACTTCAGCAAGTCGTTGTCAAAGCCGGAAAGGAACTATTGTGTCACAAGACGAGAATTGCTTGTTGTGGTAAAGTCCTTGCAGCATTTTAGCAAATATCTCCTGGGGCGGAAATTCTACTTACGAACTGACCATGCTGCACTGAAATGGCTATTGCAGTTCAAAAATCTGGAAGGACAAGTTGCGAGATGGATTGAACTACTACAGGAATACGACTTTGTGATCGAACATCGCAGCGGGAAATCTCATGGAAATGCAGATGCATTATCAAGAAGATCTTGCCCTGAAGATTGCAAGCATTGTACTAGGCAAGAGGGTAAGGAAGTGGTATCTGTGAGGATACTCAGGACAGACCAGCTCAGCAATGAGTGGAAGGACAGCCTACAACATGCACAGCAGGAAGATTCGGACATTAAGCCGATTCTGGAATGGATGAAGGCCAGTGTTCCTAAGCCCAAGTGGAGCGACGTCTCAGCAATGAGTTCGACCACAAAAAGCTATTGGGCCCAATGGGACAGCTTGCTGATTCAGGATGGAGTCCTGTGCCGTAAATGGGAAAATGGTCGGAGAGACAGGTGTCATTTGCAAATGGTTGTCCCTAAGGCTAAAGTACCGGATGTTCTATAGCTGTACCATAGTGGTTGTTTAGGAGGCCACCTGGGAGTTAAACGAAATCTACTGAAGATCCGAGAACGGTTTTACTGGGTCCACTATCGTGACGATGTCGAGGACTGATGCCGCAAATGTACAAGTTGTGCGGCTGTAAAGGGACCTCAAATTCGTAGTAGAGGCGCATTGAAATTGTACAATGTTGGTGCACCATGGGAGAGGATAGCCATTGACGTTGCGGGGCCGTTTCCGGAAAGTGAAAGTGGTAACAAGTATTTCATGGTTGTGATGGATTACTTCACTAAGTGGCCAGAAGTCTTCGCCATTCCAAATCAAGAAGCTTTAACAGTTGCAGATAAACTAGTTCATAAAGTCTTCTGTCGTTTTGGAGTACCTTTAGAGATTCACAGCGATCAAGGAAGGAATTTTGAGTCTCAAATATTCCAGGAAACTTACCGAGTTATGGGTACTCATAAAACACGAACAACTTCTTACCTCCCACAATCTGATGGAATGGTAGAACGATTTAATCAGACATTGGAGAGGTACCTAGCAAAAGTTGTGGAAAAACGGCAACGAGACTGGGACAGGCACATACAACCGTTTTTGTTGTCATATCGAAGCGCTGTTCACGAAAGTACATCAGTGACACCAGCTTTCGCAAACTTTGGGAGAGAATTACGGCTGCCTGCAGACCTGATCAACGGAATACCACCCACGCAGTATAACCGATTATGCAAATGACTTGCGGAACAAAATGAATGACATTTATGAGCACGTCAGACAGACGGGCCAGCAAACGCCTGAGAAGATGAAAACACGGTATGACCGCAAAATGAACAACAAGGGGTTTGACGTAGGTTCACTAGTGTGGTTACATAATCCAGTTCGCAGCAAAGGGAAATCTCCTAAGCTTCAAGCTAAATGGGACGGACCGTACCGGATTGTGACAAGGATCAATGACGTAACCTACCGGATACAGAAAGGTGCCAGAGGTACTCCTAAGATCGTCCATGTGGATCGACTGGCACATTATTAGTAAAAGAAAGTGTTGTGCGCCACTATTAATGTCTTGGACATGGCAACACTAGTTACACTAGTGCCCTCTAGTGTCGAGTAGCAGAACTAGGAGAGTCAAGATCCTTCCAGAAATTTCGGTTGTGTTACTAGTGTTGCCATGTCCAAGACATTAATAGTGTACTCGAATGAATTGGCGATATTTGGTAATTCAATCGGCAGTTTTAATTGTCTCGAATCCCAAGCTCGTAACATTCTTCCCCTGTTTCTTCAAAACTGGATCACATTTATTTTTCCGTGAATGATTTTCTTTTATTGTTTATGTTCGTTAAATTTGTTTGCTGATGTCAATAACCACAGTATAACTACACAGTTTTAGTACTTTTGGAAATTTACTTTATTGAAAAACATTTACTTAGTAACATTTTTGAAATAATAATTTTAGGTCAGTTGTTAAGTTTTTTTTAATATAAGTAAATTGTTTCATAAAAAATAATTAAATTTTTCAAAGGGGTCGCTCAACAATTGACACCGGAGTTGAGCTTATTAAATATATTTTAAAATAATATTTCAAAACTATTGATGTTAAGAAAACGGCAGACTTATGGGGGATTTCCGTTAAAGTTATTTCATCTATAATAGATACAATAGCACCTTATCTAGTCACTATATTTAGTGCAAACGTCAAATGTGGCGTATTAAACAAAAAAATATTATTGGCGTACTAAATCAGATTTAGTGAAACAGTAAAGTCCATACCTTTATTTAAATCTGATTTATCTAAATTTAGACCCCGCTAAGTTTAGGCCAATTTCTGTACTACCAACGCTTAGTAAAATTTTTGAAATAATAATTTTAGGATAGTTGTTAAGATTTTTTATATAAATAAATTGCTTCATAAAAATCTTTTTTTTATTTTTCAAAGGGGTCGCTCAACAACTGACACTGGAGTTGAGCTTATTAAATATATTTTTTGTGCAGAAGAAGAGAATGAATTTAAAGGATGAATTGGGTATATTTTGTGACCTGTCCAAGGCCTTCGACAGTGTTCATCATGCGACATTAATTAGGAAGCTACAGTACTATGGTGTCAAGGAAACAATGCTTAAACTTGGTATTTTATATTAAATTAATAGAACGTTACACACGAACGTAAAAGTTCTTCCGGGTTACCTGTACTAATGGATGTCTCTCAAGGCTCAATTCTCGGCCCTTTCCTATTTGTAGTCTATATCAATGACTTACTTTCCCTTGTAGGAGATAATCATGATATAATATAATTTCCTTCGATACTTCATCGATTTTTACACTTAAAACGTCAATCTTTTAAATGTGACGAAGTGAATAATACTATATCAAAATTAGTGCATTGGTTTAACGTTAATAATCTATATTTTAATGGCAGTAAAAGTAAATATATTAAATTTACAACACCGAATGTTAAAAATCTGAGCACCAATGTGTTGTAAATGGGAAAAGCTGAGCCGTGTTGAATTCACTGTTTTTCTTGGCTCATTACTCTCGACTCAAAACTTCAATGGAGACCTCATATATCCAAAATAGCAAGCAGACTAAGCTCTTAGCTTATGCTATAAAAAACTATTAGAAGCCTCACTAGCGTCGAAACAGCTAGATTAGTTTAGTCCAGTTATTTCTATATCATAATGTCTTATGGGGTTTTGCTATGTGAAAATGCGGCTAGTTTAGAAAATAGTCTACACCAAGAGTCTTTCAGAGTAAAATTTAAACAAATAAATATATTAACTTTGGTCGCTCAGTATATTTATGAAAATGTAATATATATATTAAAATATGAGGCAATTTACGAGGAGGCCTATGTTCAGCTGTGGGCGTTTGTAGGCTATAATGGTAATGGTAAAAATAATAATAATTATGTCCTTCAGATTGGATTCCTTTCACGGTGACCAGTCTCAACAGGGACTAGCCATCTGTACAAGAAAGGATTATAGTGCACGATTGTATGGCGAGGTACACTCTCTATTCCCTTCCTTTCATAATCCGATGGGACGGTAATCCGATACGACTGAAGAGAAATCAGGCGCATGACCAACGGATTTACGCGCTTTCCGAGGCACCGGGGTGAAACACCGCCAATTTACTGGCGCCGGTCTGATACTGAGAATTTCTTAACCAAAAAACTCAATAACCGATTTGAGCGCAACATTGGACCTTGTATATATATTTATTTTTTACCTCATGATTAGCAAACGCGTTAACGACCACTAGAACAATGAGCCAGTCAATGGTATAATTCCATTCAATAATTGTAATGGTAAATATATAAAAATACAAACTTGCAGACCAGTTGTGCGGTTCGTGCTGGTCGTTTGGAGCGGCCGGTGCTGTAGAGGGCGCGCTGTTCTTACGCAACGGCGGCAATCTCGTTCGTCTCAGTGAACAGGCGCTCATCGATTGTTCTTGGGGGTTCGTCCAATTTTACTGTTTTTAAATTATAATGATAATCATTTTTTTTCCTGTCATCATTGAAGAACCAATAATTTTCTGTTCATTTATGATCTGTAAGCGAAACGAATGAAGGCTAATAATAATGTAAAATATTTACATTGTCCACCGTTAGCGGCGCTGATATCGTTTTGTTTTTGTGCTGCATCATGGCGACGGACAATTATTTTAATAAAAAAAAACACGCTAACGCGGGTGTCCACGCAACAAAATCAATGGATAGTCCATTGATTTTGTTGCGTAAATTGTTGCGTTGTATTAAAGATCAAAATATGACTTCATGGAAATTGCGGGTGAAGATATTTTAATTTTTAAAAAGAAAAGTTCTGAGGATTCTACAGTTTATATAGTTCTAATAGAAAAATATTATGAAATACTAACAGAAATCCACAAAGCCGAAAATAGTGGCGTTAAAATGATAGAAATGCTCCCGACGTAAAATATAAAAAAGACCACCCGGCAAAGTTCGGCCTCTGACCTAACCTAACCTAAGGAAATATACATAAAACAATGCCTTTCTGCTGTATTCTAACACATGTTTAACCTTTTTTTATTTTTATACTTTTTGGAATACCCGCATTATTTAGTATATCCATTTCTTACCTAATTAATATAAAACATAACGAATACTTCAGAAACAAATATTAATCTCTACACTTTTCTAACAAATTAACTTCCCCCCGCTATGAAATTGTCAAATATTTTCCAACTCGTTCCTAAGTAGCGCCATCCTCGTCACAGAAAAAGTCATGGATCATTGATGAATTATGATATGTAAGGTGTTTTTAGATTCCTTTTTATTAGGGTTTCTTATCCAAAGGGTAACCAACGGGACCCTCTTACTAAGCCTCCGCTGTTCGTCCGTCTGTCTATCAGCGGGCTGTATCTCACGATCCGTAATAGGTAGACAGTTGAAATTTTCACCGAATGTGTACGCAAACTATAACAATACGCAACATACAACAAATAATTAAAACAAAAAAAATTGAAGGGCTATCCTACTAGAAACGTGTATTATGTGTACGGGACCTTTCATGCGCGAGTCCAACTCGGACTTGGCCGCTTATTTGCATAGTGTTGTAAGCTATATTAAACATAATATAGCCATTCGGCACAACCATGACTCACTTTTCTCCCTGCTTTCACATTCATATATCTATGTATACAATACACTGCTTTATTCTGCACAATATATTCGGTTATCACTCATTACATAATGTCACTAGCACTACACAATACTTGGTACACGTCTGTCGGTATACACGTATTAACAGAGATGTCGCCTTCTCGCTGGTTACAATTCAACTGCCCGATGTTCACACGGCGGGCTGTATTTATACCCCAGTAGTGACGACTCACTACCGTTTGTCTATACACTACAAGACATTTGTCTATACACTACATTTCTTCCTTTTTCTTAATATTTTTTATTTCTGGTTACATGCATGATCAGTAGTTGCTTTAACTTTTACAGAATCAGTTTAGATTATTCTTCAATAATCATTCTTATTTCATCAGTGTTATTATCTGTTACTTCTTCATTCAAATTTGGTACATTTCCTTCTTGTGCATCGTTAACTACTTTCCACTCTCCTTCAATTTTTTTTAAGTGAACTACATTTCGTCGATATTGTGTATTCGTATCATTATTGCGAATCACTACGTCTCCAGTGTTGTTAGTAGTTTTTACAACAGTATGTATGTCTGGAGATAAGCTTGGTGTAAGCTTATTTTCTTTGGCGAAATTTTTTACAATTACCTTATCACCTTCATTTATGCTGTGATCTTTGGCCTTTCGCTTGCGGTCACTGTAATTTTTCCCTGCTTCTTTTTGCAATGCGTCTTTGTCCCTAACTTCTGAATCTTCTTGTTTATTTTCAATATCTATGTATGATGGAATTTTATCCCGAAATTGTCGTTTGTAGAATAGTTCAGATGGAGTTTTACCAGTCACTGAGTGGGGCGTGCTATTGTACATCATCAGATAGTAAAATAAATCTTCTTTCCAATTCTTTCTTTCCACTTGACTGATTTTTAAGCGTTTTAGAATACTTCGGTTTTGCCTTTCCACTTCTCCATTCTGTTGGGGCCAATATGGTATTGTGTTGTGAAGAATTATACCACATTCTTGCAGGTAATTTCGAAACTATTGACTAATAAATTGCCTGCCATTATCTGCAGTGATGGTAACTGGATAACCAAGCCGTGAAAATATTTCCTTTAGTAACCTGATAATATCATTTGATGTTACACTTTTTGTCACTTTTACTTCCTTGTAACGACTGTAATAATCAACGATAACTAACAAGAAATCTCCAGAGGGTAGAGGTCCCATTAGATCAATAGCTACATCAATCCATGGTTCGACCGGTAGTTCACGGCGTTTCATTGGATTAGGTGGGTTTGGTGCAGATACTAATGTGCAACTTTTACAGTTTCTTACGAATATCTCTGCATCTTTGTCAATTTTAGGCCACCATACTTTCGTCCGTAATCTTTGTTTCATACAAACAATACCAGGGTGACCCTCGTGAGCGGCTTGCAATACTTGCTGTCTTAATTTTTCAGGAATAACAATTTTGTTACCTCGAAGTAAAATATTATTTTGGAAGCAAAGCTCTGATTCAAATACTTTATAATTTGATATGGTATGGTCCCAGGTACACGAGTATAAACCTTGTCTTACCTTAGCAATTTCGGAATCTTCCTTGGAAAATTGCTCAATATCGTCGAGTGATACGGCTACGGGTCTTGAGTATTCAATTATATGCCTGATATGTTCCTCATCAAAATTACGTACTATTGTATTCACAGAATTATGGTTTGGTGTGCAAAGTCTTGAAAAGGGATCAGCTATATTCGATTTACCTGGTCGGTATACTATTTTGTAATTATAGGCTTGTAATCGAAGAACCCATCTTTCGATTCGGGCACAAGGCTTAGAGCATCTTCCAAAAATAATTTCTAATGGTTTGTGGTCACTTACCAGTTCAAACTCACTTTTTCCATAAAGATATATTCTAAAATGTTCTACAGCCCATACTAAGGCCAGCGCTTCCTTTTCAGTTTGGCAGTATCGCTTTTCGCAGTCTGTTAAACTCTTATTTCCAAATGCTATTATTCTAGGTCCTTTTGAATTAATTTGGATAAGAACCGCCCCTAACCCAACAGGACTGGCATCGGCAATAACTTGGGTCTTGTCAGCCGGATCATAATATCCTAATGACTGCATATTGCATAGAATTTTCTTCAATTCGTGAAATGCGTTTTCCTAGTCTTTGGTCCAGAATTTCCCAATGTCGGCATTTTTCCCCAGCTTTAGCCTTAATATTTTCCGAAAAGGCTCAGTGAGTGTCGCCAAATTTGGTATCCATTTCCCAACAAAATTTACTAACCCCAAGAAACTTTGAATTTCCTCGATAGTTTTTTTTTTATTATCAAATCAAACATTTATTAATTCATAAGCATGGGTATTACAGGATGTCACATATAAAATTATTATAAGATACAGCCATGTTTCACCTTAGAGGTATATGAACAAAATTGAAGTATATTTTTACATTTTGTCATCAAAAAATATTCTTATGTCATAGTACACTTTTTCAACAAGGAAGCCATTGAGCGCAGTTTTAAATCTTTTGATATCATTAATTAATCGTATATTTAACGGGATTTTATTATAGATTTTTGGTGCCATGCAATTTACACACATTCTTCGAAGAAGTGGTTTGCATTTGTGATTAACTTTCAATGTTCCTTCACGACGACTTCCGGCAGTATTCATTTCAAAATAAATTGGGATATTTCGAACAAAGTTTGCAACCTCATATATATACATACACGGTAGAGTCAGAATTTTATATTTGCGAAAGTACGGTTCACATGAATCATCCTGATTTAGACCGAACATCGATCTAACACACTTTTTTTGCGCTTTGAGGACACTTTGTTTTTCAGTTGTGTTGGCCCAAAATATTATTCCATACCTTAAGTTTGATGCAACATATCCGTGATAGGCTGTTAGAAGAGTTTTAACACTGGAAACCTTCCTTAGTTTATAAAGGGCATAAGAGAATTGGTTTAGTTTTTTAATTAGATTATTAATATGAGGTTTCCATGTCAGCTTATTATCTATAGTCAAACCCAAAAATTTTGTAGTGTCTACCTCTTTAATTGAATTCCCAGAGTAGTTAATGTCAAAATTTAAAGGATAATTATTTCTTTGTTTAAAGTTTATTACATGTGTTTTTGTCAAATTAATTGTTAGGTTATTTAATGTCAGCCATTTGAATAAAGATGTCAATGTATTATTAATGTCAATATTTATATTATTCTCATTATCATAAGTAAATAAAACAGTACTATCGTCAGCAAAAATAGTCATATGATGGTTGATTACATTAGGAAAATCATTTATGTAGATAATAAAAAGGAGAGGGCCCAGTACACTTCCCTGTGGTACTCCATAGTTTACTTGACACTCTTTCGATCTGTATATTTTATTTTCACCGGTCTTAGAGTCAATTTTGGTTATATGTGTAATTTGTCTTCTATTACTTAAGTAACATTCGATTAGCTTAAGGGCGTTGCCTCTTATACCATACCTTTCTAGTTTGTTAAGTAATGTTTTATGATTAATGTTGTCAAATGCTTTGGTCATATCCATAAATAGTGCTAGTGTAGGCTTTCGGTTGTTAACGTTTTTTACGACTCTTTCCAAAAACTCGTATATAGCCATACTAATGGATTTATCTTTTCGAAAGCCGTATTGATGCTTCGAAAACAGATTATTGGTTTCAAAGTAATCGTTTATTTTTTTATATATAATGTGTTCTATTAACTTTGAAAATATTGAAATTAGTGAAATAGGACGATAGTTTTTTAACAGCTTGTTGTCATCCTTTTTGAATATTGGGATAGTAATTGCCAATTTCAATATATCTGGAAATATTCCCTGTTCT